TTAAAGAAGATATCAAAAATTATCTAAATTTTTCAGAGGGATCTCTCCCTATCAGATATCTTGGAGTTCCATTGGTATGCAAGAGACTTTCATTGCAGGACTGTAATCCCCTCTTCATCAAAATGTCAAACCAATTCCAGAAATGGTTGAATATCAGAAATCTGTCATATGCAGGAAGAATTCAGATTATTAAGAGCATTATCCTTCACATTCAAATATATTGGACCTCATGTTATATTCTACCAGCCAAGGTGCTATAAAAAGTAGATGAACTATGTAGAGATTTTCTATGGCGAAAAAAAGACCAGATCCGCAAGGTTCCATTGGTTTCATGGAGTAAAACATGTACAAGTATGATACAAGGAGGTCTGGGGACTTTCTCTTCAAAAATATGGAATTATTCATCAGCAATGAAGATACTATGGGACATACACTCAAATAAAGAATGTTTGTGGATCAAATGGATCCATGGGACATACTTAAAACACACTGATATCTGGCAAGTGGAAATAAAAAATAGTGACTCTTGGATGTGGAAGCATCTCTTAAAAGCTAGAAACAAAGCTTTGCAACAATGTGGAGGAGTAGAGAACCTACATGAGCTAAATCAAGGCGTGCTGCTGCAATAACAATAAAGTCAAACTATCGAAAATGTATCAATCTCTATCCCCTGCAGTTGACAAAGTGACATGGTGCAAAACAATTCATTTCAAGGTTGGCGGTGCATGACAGACTTTTAACACGGGATAAGCGTCATAGAAGAGAAATCATTCAAATTAACAAATGCATACTATGCTCTGGTGCTGAAGCAGAAAACAGGAATCACTTATACTTTGAATGCATCTACACAAGAGAAGTCTGGATCAACATCATGGACTGGTTGCAATTTAAGTGGAAGAGTTGTGGTTGGAATCTTCTTATAAATTGGTACAACTCAAGTATACGAGGAAAAGAATTCAAACATAGAGTGAAAAGAATGGCCCTATCTACATCTATATATAATATATGGATGGAACATAACGCAAGAATCTTCAAGCAAAAATGCAAGGGGATTGAGCAACTTACCAAAATAATCAAGGTGGACATGTTGACAATAGTTCTTAATAGTAATATACAAATAGAAGATGAGAAATGGATACTTTCCCTGTAACTATATATAGATTGTAGGGAATTGGCGGGTACTCAGGTTTGAGTTTTTTTGATGTACACAAATTTCTCCATAAGGTCAAATGAATAAAATTTCATTTACCAAAAAAACAAAAGAAGTATGTTTCTGTTGTTACACAATTATTGTCATTGTATTAAATAGCATCAACTATTGGGTACAATTGGTATTCATTTCTCTCATTTGTTTGCAAATCCTTCATTTATGTGTATGATATTTAAGAAATTAATTATCACGCAGATATCTCCTTTGCTTCAAGATGTTGCTAAATACAATTAGATTACTTGGCTATATATAGTTATAATACACATAAAGGATATCTAGTGTTATCTCCCTAGCATGATGTTGCATGGTGGTAAAAGAGATATAAGATCTGTGAGATTTAGAAGTTTTAGCGCATGCCGCCCACAGCTCGACACCGACACATGATTTACGTGATTTGGCAACGGTCTACATCCATGGTTAGAGGATTGAGTCTTCTTTTATTCTAGAGATTACAAGATAATCTATTCTTGTGTTTGATGAGGAACCAGCAAGAGACCCTCTCAATCTCACTAAAAGATCTCTCATAATCTCTAAATTTCTCCCTTCAGTTCTCTCTGCTCCTCTCTTACAATATGTAGCTCTTCTTGACTTCCCCATTAACCCTAGATATTAGGAACAACCCTATTTATATAATAAATCCTAATTACAAAAGAATTCCAAAAGAAAATAGTCCAAAACTGACATGAATTGGGTTTTGACCCAATTTTGACCTAGTACAAGCTACAGTGACCGCTAGTTTGCAAAGCTTCTTCGAACCTCCTTTCTTCCATCTTCATTTGTCATTATCTTCTAAGGCTAAAATACAAGATTATTCCCAAACAATATCTAGGTTAGGTTTATATAAAGTCACCTTTGAAAACGTTGATCCTTCCTTGTAACCTTTTTTTGCTGTAAACTTGTAAAACTGTAGAGAATGAACACCTTCAAGAAATTAGCTTAAGCCCCCTCTTCAAATGGCATCTGAGCAATCATTGCTCGTGCATTGGTGTCAACCCTTTTATTGAGTTGACACCAACCACCTTTGCTGCACACTTGAAGTTCGACCGTCAACTTGTTGTAGACTTCATCTTGACTCCTCCATCTAGAGTTGAACTCCCATTTCGACTCTCCTTCAGAACCCATGTTTGTTGATAGCTTCTCTTCCTTTTCTTCGTACACCCTCTTAAAGATGAAACTACACCTTGAACATCAGCTCCTTTAGAAACTCGATACAAGTCATCTCCATAATTTTGCTCAAGTAGGATATGATTCCTACTGTGGTATATCGTGATGACTCGTCCTTGCACATGGGTTCGGTAGCCTATAGAGTCAAGCACCCTATTAGATATTAGATTCTTCCTCGCCTTTAGGACTAACCAAATATTCTCTATGGTGATAATTCTCCTATTTCTTCCTACTACAATGACTGCTCCCATGCCTGTGACATTACACCTCAAGCCATCTATTGTGTAGACAGTCTCCTTTACTCCTTGCACTAGGGAGTCAAATAGGCTGGTTCAGGAACATAGATGAACTGATATTCTTGAATCTAATTTCCAACCACCACAATAACTGTTATTTTTAGAAACCATCAACACCTCAACCCGTTGGCTTTCTTCCTCCAAAATAGCCAACGCATTATCAAGTTGATTTCCACTAGTACCTGTTGCATATAAAGTTTGCAATATTCAATCCCCCTTCTTTCACCCCTTCAATAACTCTTGCCATTTGAAGTAATCTTTCTTCATGTGACCCTTCCCGTAGCAAAAGAAGCATTAACTAAACTACAAATCTATCCTGTATGAAGATCTCCCTCGCATATCTGCTACCAACCAGCACTAGAACCTAAGTCATTACCAACACCATATCGTCGCTGAAAGTCATCTTTGAGGAGAGTCACTTTTGACTTCATCCATGGTGATTGCCGCCTTCCCTATGGTTAGCAATATCTTCAGATGTTGGCAGCTCACTAGAAGAGAACTCAGCAAGATTACTACTTTGTCGTCATCTATGAGCTTTCACACATTCACTGCTAACTCAATCACTATCCTATTGAAGTTGCTCAGGATACTATTGTTATTTTTAGTACAAGTTAATGGATGCATTCTTGACTATGTGCATTTCCTCGAGTGTCTTCCACATACTAAGTGTAGTTTTCTCTTTGATTATGTGATACCCCACTTCATAAACGAGAGCAAGTAGAATCATA